AAAAATTTTTATGTAAAATTACTTATTAAAATTTTTTATAATTAAAAAATTAAAGTTGGCTATTAAATTTAAAAATTTTGATAATTTTAAAGTGGTCTAATACTTTTGACTGGGGAGTATATTGTTAATAATAAAGATAAATACAAAATATATATTTTATTTGATTTAATTAATAATTTTAACTAATCAGTTATTCAAATGATCTGAATAATTAAATAATTATCATTAATCAACAATTAATTTGAATAATAATCGATTATAAATTTTATGAACAATTGATTAATTGAATATAAAATTTTTAATTGATTTGGACCTCTATTTATTTTCAAATAAAATTAGAAAGATCTTATATTAATATTAGACAAATAATTTTATAGTAAATTTCGTATTGGTAATATTAAATAGAATCTAAAAGTCTAAATTATTAAAAAACTTATTTAAGTCTAAAATAGCCTTTTTATATCTACTTAATGATTTATATAACTAATTAAGAGTATTATATTATACATATACTATGAAATTATTTAAGATTATGAGAATTTCCTTCTAAATTTAATTACAGTATTATAAATAATTCAAAAAGATAGTTATTTTAAAATTCTAATATAATGAATAAGAAAAAATTAGATCAAAATTTATTAAAATGAAAATAATATCTTAAAAATGAATTTATTTAAAAATTTGCTGATAAATTACAATATGTTTCAAAAATAGAGCCTTGCATTCTTTTTGTAATTGAACTTTGGTATGCTAATTTGAAATAAAGTAAATTAGTTAATATTTAATAAAATATTATATGCAAAAATATTATCATTACTATCTGAGAAATTTTTAGAAGTGATTGTTATGATAACATATTACAATGTTATAATGTAGTTAATGTCAAAGTTATCTCATTAGTCTTAATCATATTTATTAGTCCTTTTTGAATATTTATTATAAGCTCTAGAATACTTGTATAGTGAGCTAGCCAATAAGCTATTTCAAACTCATTAGATATGTTTTAGAATTGTGTTAGTAGCTTTAGCTGTAAATTAACTCTGATATTAATATTATTGATTTCTCATTATATTGTTTGTTCAGGTGACTTTTAAAATAATTCTTATATACAAAACAATTTTGTTCACTATTATTATTATTATTAAGTAATATCACAATAAAAATAGATGAACTTAAATTTTTATCATCATTTTATAAAATATATGGTGATGATTTCTATTGATCTGTGCTTATTTTGTTTGATAATAAAGAATTTGCTGATGATTTCTGTTGATATTATACAGGAATTAGATCAGCTTTATTATTATCATTTAGTAAAGAATTTGCTGATAATTTCTGTTATTTTTGTATAAAAGTCAGATTATTTGCTAGAACTGGGCTTGAATTCTCTAAAAGTTTCTGTTTTTTTTCTTTTTATTATATTATCTTTTAGTCATCATTGTTTTTACATTAGTGGGAATCAGGTTTAGATCTTCTACTACTTCCTAATTAGTATTTTGCTTCTTACTTTATCATTTAATCCTCATTTTTATTGCTAGAGTATTTATTATCAGAGTTGAACTTGCTGCCTTATCATTTAATAAATTATCTGTAAATATTTCAAAAAGAAGAAAAAAAAGATAAAAAATATAAGTAAATAAAAAAAAGAATTTAATAATATGAAATTTATGTAACATACTTTCAGCTGCTACCATTACAGCTAATTTGCTAGATATTGCTAATGCTAGTTTTCTCATATAATTTAATAAAAAACTATTTTCTTGTGAAAATACTATTTTTTAATATGTAATTAATTAAAAAAATATATAATTTATATGATCATTCATTTGATTAGTCTATTAATATATTAATAAAAGATTTAATAATATGATCATTTATTTGACTAGTTTATTAATATATTAATAAAGGATTTAATGTATTGTTAAAAACTAAACTAATTGAAAACATATTAATTTTTTTTAAAAAAAAAGAAAAAAAATATTGATGTTAAAATTGACCTAACTAAAACAGATTTAATTTTATTACTAAAAAACTGACTAACTTTATAAATCATATTGCCTTGTTGCCTTATTTGGTTATTAGGCTTTTATTTATTATGTCTAGAATTTTATGAAAATGGACTTTAATATAAATAGGATGGCGTTAATTAAACTACAGTGCCTTTTATATATAAATTAAGAATATTAAGATGAGATTAATTGATTCAAAAATTTCTTTATAGCGAAAAAAAAGACTTTAATATGGCTTGTAAATGAAAATTTAATAAAAAAAATCAAATATTTCAAATTTTCCTGTTAACTGTCTTTAATATTAATCATCAGATATAAAAGCAAATGCTCACCATGTACAATAATGAATTTTTTCGATCTACAATAGACTTTAGAACTTGTATAGTTTATTTTATCAGAAAAGTTTATTTAATAGTATATTTGTAAAATATATAATAAAAGCATATTTTTATAAAGAACTTTAATTTACAAAGTGTCTCTTACTATTAAAAATACTATAAAATAATAAATGAAACGCTCAAGAAATACCCATTGTTAGTCACAAATCATACTGCGCCTTATATGAACTACAACTGCGCTGGATATCATGAAAATGATACATGTTAAACATGTAATAAATGTATCGTTTGATCGACTTTATAATACATGTATCAAATAATTTACTTTTTAATAGCTTTCATTATATGTATTATTTTTATTTATCAAAAAGCGTAGTATAGTACTAGCTAACAATTTTTATATGAATAGACCTGTAAGTTGACCTTGAGTCGACAGAGTTTTGCTCAGAGATTGAGATAAGTCTTAGGGTTAGACTTATAACTCTACAGTTTTAATAAAGTTACTATTTTACACTTTCAACCTTCTTCTTGTCTAAATCATAGGATTGATCGTGATAATCTACTACGCAAGTGAATCGTGATAATAAATTGTTTTTGTTGTTAACAACTAATTTCTCTTAGGAAAGGCCTTTGAGATAATTGTGTTATTAAGTTTATTAGTTTTGTTAGCTTGGTTTGAGACGATTCCAGGTCTAACGCCATGTATATGTACTAATTCTAAAGTTACGCGTTAGAGCAAAAAAACACAATATTACGGATGACGATATTGAAGAAACTGCGGATGATGATAGTGATGGCAAATGATCAGGTCATTTGACGATTTTGAAATGACCTCTGAATGACCTTCGAATGACCTGGTCATCTGAGGTCATTTGAGTCACTTGCCATCACTGCTATATAGAGAGTCTGGCACAGTTATACGATCCATCTTAATGATGATTATCTTATGTTTGTTTGTTAGATTGAATAAAAAAGGACAATTTTTTCATTTCGAATTTTTTTTTTTTTAAAAATATATTTCGTATGAAATGAATAAGTTTTAATGAGTCACAGAGTCACAGAGTCATTTGTCTAGATTTTTTTAACTAACCACTAACTTTTTCGCTTTTATTATTAAAGGTGACCGAAAGTGTACGCGATTTGAAGATTATGGAAGGTGTGCTGAGCTTACAAAATGCGAAACATGCAAAACTTGCTATAAACATTGTTTGTGAATGTAAGTATAATAATTCCATTTTTTTTTCTCGATGAATCTGTGACTCTGTGATGTGACTCAATGAAATGACTTAAGAAAAAGCATAACGTGCGTGACACTTTGATGAAATTAGACAGATTGATATTACAAAATTTTTGATTAGTATATTTTTAACCTATAACGATGATTCTTAATAAATAAATATATAATATATCGATATATTTTTAAACTTTCCTGAATTATAATTTTAAATCACATGATCTGTATATTATGTAAGCAAAAAAAATTATTTCTGAGAAATTATTTTAATCGATTAGAAAAATATGCATATGTAAATTTTACGGATGAAGTTATTTTAATCCCGTCCAACCAATACAACAAATACCATCTGAAGGCGCGATCAACATAGTAGAGCGACTCGTGACATTAGCGTCCGAAAGTGGATCAATTGAATAAGCTTCTAATAAATTCACAATAATTTGTGATATAAATGTCTCAATACCATTGGATCTATAGGATAAGCGATGTAGAGATTTCTTTCTAACCTTAAACCAAATAAAATAAATAAGTCAACGTGACTCCAAAATGCCGCGTTAAGTAATTCGGGATAATAAACTCCACCATGGATTTCTTTTTATTTGGAAATCCGAGATTACATAACACCCAATACTCCGGATGATAAGGATACCATCCGCAAATAACTTAAATTTTTGGATATAAGAAAGTTGACTAAATAATGAATCGCTACTATCCATATCCAATATAACATAACAAAAGGATATAGTAATAATAATATTGGTGAACAAATGATTTTTATCTAGGGATGTTAAGCGTTCCTTAACAGGTCCTAACGATTTAATAGATTACTATCTCTAGAGAAGTCTAATCACTTATCTATAATAAGTAACCCCGTCAAAAAAATGGCATAAATATTTTATAATTTAATTGTAAAAAGCGAATATGATATTCAAAATTGGGACCGATCCTAAGGACCCAGTCCTAAATCCTAAAATTTTAAATTTAGGAAATTCTGGGATCCAAGAGGGTTTATTATTTATTTTCATTAAGTAGCTCATTAAAACATTATAATAGACAAGTTTAATATTAAATTTGTAAAAATAATTTATTGTAATTTTTCTTGGACCGCTTAGGATCGTTAACATCCCTATTATTATTTTCTGGTCTCGGGTTATAAGTTTTCTGGCAAAAGAAATAAGTAGGAACATCATATAATGCGACAACTTATAAATTATAAGAAACACTTCTACATGCGTCCTAAAAAATTTAAATGTTCCAATGACCTCCTCCTTTCTGTTAGATGTATATATTACTTAAACTCCTGCGCGAGGCAATGTACCGAGGAAATTCTAAATGATTTAAATAATCGAAATACATCAGTTAAAAACTTGATGGCACTACGGACAATAAAAATAACATTTCTTGTCTGATCCCCAAAATTAATGGCTGTTAAAAAAAAAAAAAAACTTTTAAATGTAAGTATTAAGTAAAGAATATTTGAATTCTATGAACTTACCGCAAAAACCTCTCGCGTAATTAAAGATGGCAACTATTTCAATGAAATAAAAAAGTTACAAAATTTTCAATTTCATAATTTTAAAATTTCATCGTTATTAATTATACTAATTCATGCTCATGTGTTTACGAGGTGTGGTTTTAAACTTGTAAATAGCCGGATGAAACGCTCTTATCAGACATTAAAAATTTTTATTTCTACTAAATTGAACATTGTGAGCCAAGCTTTCCAATTAACAATACAATTATTAACGCTCATCTCACTTCTAATTTTGACCATTTTCTTGAATCATATTCTGAGATAATATCAGCTCATGTTCTTAATCCGTTAAAATTTATTTAGTTTTTTCAAAAAAAAAAAAATTATGAAAATGTTCTTTATACAATATACAGTACATTTGATTGACTCCGGCCGCGCAAATTTTTAAAATTTAACATTAATCGCCACAATCTAATTCAAATCGTGGGTTTGTAACTTTATGGCTTTCACTCAACTAGCCTAGCCGCAGTAGCGTATTGGGCATTCATATTAACTAACCTAATTATAGGTTATTCGCACAAGATGTTGTTGAATTATTTAGAAAACAGTGCCAAAATTAATAACAAGGGTCTCCTAAGCAATGTTCTTTTTAGGACATTTCTAATGTATAATTACCATAGTTCGATAACAAATTCTCGTAACAACAAACGAAAGAGTTTAGATTCTTCGTTTCTTTTTGAAAAGATTTTTTTTTTTTTTTTTGCAAGACAGGTATTTTTTCTTTGATGCATAACCTAATCATTAATGCTACTATGAATCGTAATGATCACAACCAATAAACGACCTATAAAAATAAATGATTAACATAAAACTTTGGTATTTTTCATTCTGAATCTTTTCGACGAATAAAGGGTGTTTCCACGTTTAGAGTATATTGTTCAAGAGCGTAATTTCCTGGATAGAATTCCAAGGGAAAAGGAAATTTTTTCTTCAATATTGGTAAAAAATTTAAGTAAAACTCGATTTCTTATGGTTGAATTTTAATAAAAAAAAAAATAAAAGTATTGTACTTTTTTCTCAATTTATTATTATTTGCGACAATGAATTTTTTTTATATATTATTTTGAAGAACTACTGCGCCTCCAACCGAAATTCTTTATTTTATTATTTATGATATTATTTATGGATTTTATGACCACAAAATAAAATTCCACTTTGTTATGACAAGGTTTATTTATTAATTTGAAGTAAATCTACAATGATTGATATGTTAAATTTATTTTGTGTCACCTTTAACATTACCAATCTGATTTTATTACATAATCATCAAATTAGGATAGATCATTTGCTGTTGCATGCCGTGTAACGATCATTGACGCACTTATAATAAGCCAGAAAAAATTTTTTTTTTTTTTCAAATTATTTTTTCACATCACATCATCATAATGGCAAGATCTAAAAAAAGAAGAAGCGGTAAAATGTTTAAATTGATTTTATAGATTTAATATTAGTCAAACGTAACTAACTTTCATTTATTTTCAGATTTATTATTACATGTAACTAAAAAGAAACCTCGTAGTGACAAGTCCAAAGCTATCGAAAATGCAAGTCAACTTATTTTGTACATCTCTTGCTTTAGACATTCACAATGATAAATGATCGCTAAATAAAAGGAAAAATT